CACATAAAGATGTAAAATGCACAGAGTCTGGATACTATATGCTGTATTGTTGTCTTTAAATTGTTTGATTGCCAAGGAAAGAGTTACAGCTGCTACAATACATTTTATTATGTGCTGCTGAATTAATCCAACTTATATATTTTAAAAATGCTTTAACTTCTAAGTTTGAATACAAGGACAGGTTACTTGTGTGTCTACAGAAAATGGAAAGCTATGGATTCCTTCCAGACAAATATGGTTTGATCAAGCAATACCCCCTGAGACAGTGACCCAACTGATCCTACATCCAAAACAGCTGAGATGATGCAGTCATAGACCACTAGAGCCAGGATTTCTGGGTTTTCTCAGGATCCTCATGACATTGCTCCCAACCAGCAGGAAACAGATTAGAATGAACAACGCCCAAATTCCCAAATTGTTTATAAATGTTTGGCCTCATTTAAATGGGGTTGGTTATAAATGGTAATGATCACTGTCAATCTCTTTTTAAAAGGTAATAGGATATAGGAATGAATAATTTGCATTGGTATGGATTTTCATTTACTGATACAACTTTAAGGTCAATTTTGTGATATGTATATTTCTCCTTTTGTTAGGTATTGTGTTTATACTGATCTTTTAAAATGTAATGCATAATTAAATACATAATATATAATCACCTATAATTGTCAGAACTTATAATTAGGTTAGTTAGGTTTTCTAGATATACAGAGATATATTTGAGATGGATATTCTTCAAAACTTTCAAAGACCTACAGAATTTATGGCATTTAAATGGTTTAGGGTTTTTCTTGATTGTGAGACACAACTGCTCCTGGCACACCAATTACGTCAGAAAGGAGGATGGGCATCTAAGAAACTCATTATGGAGTTTGCTTTCAACATGGCAAGATTAGCCATTTGGGCAAGAAACTGCTCTTGCCTAGACTGTTTGTTGCTATATAAACTGGACATGCAGAACCCACAAGAAAGTGACTACTGAACTTACAAAACAAGATGAACAGTCCTGAAGGGTTCCTGCTGAAATGGAGAAGTGTGCCAGACACACTGTGGCCTATGGGCTGAAGATGGATGCCCCAACGTTACAGAGGAACTTTGGGTGATTGTGCAGGTAGTGAAATGTCTCTGTCAATTCTAGAGTTTATAAATTATCCTTCTGTGGTCTTTGATGGAGTTGAAGACAGATAGTTATGATTATAGATTTCTTCAGTTATTATAAGAGATAAATTACCCTTCTTTTTATTTAGACAGAAAAGAGGAAATGATGGGTGAAGTGCTTCTGTGTATATGTTTGTCTTATTGGTTGATAAATAAAGTACTGTTTGGCCAATGAGGGAGCAAGTTATGTGGGTCTAGGAGTCAAGGAGGATTCTGGGAAATGTAGTTGAGATCCAGGCAGGAAGTGACATAGCTGGCAGACTCATATATAAGCAAGGAAAAGAAGAAAGTTGTTCTCTCTCTCTCTTCCTCCTGCTTTCTGCTCTGGAGTCTCCATGTGAGCCCAGGAAGATAGGACGCCTTCTGATAGTGTCCTTCATAAGATAAGTCTTGTGATTATGGTTGATAATTAAGACTGAGCTAGCAGATGAGAAATCCTAATCTTTGGCCAAGCAGCATTTGTATCTGATATAAGTCTCTGTGTGTTACTTGGGACCTTAACGTGGCAGCAGGAAGAACTCAGGTGGCCTGGTGGAAAGTACCCATGTGGCGGCAGGGCTTGGGTGTTTGGAGTAAAGACTTATCCTTACAAATCTAGTTTTCAAAACTTTACTAAAAAAATTAATTCCAGCACTTGCAAAAGAGATTGGCTGGGAAGTCTTTGTATCCATTTAACCAAGTTTGAAAACACTTGGACACAAGTTATCTTAGCTTACCATTCAGTTACAAACATTCGGAAGGCATGTATGTAAGTTACACAGCTTTTCCCTTTGTGAATTAATTCCTTCCTTCCTCTAAATTTAAAAGAGGACATTTTAATTCCTTCTATTTCTTCCTCTCCAACTGAATATTTTTATTGATTCAATACTTGTTTGTGTTGCCAATACAAGTTCAGTTATGAAGCAATCATAATTAATGTCAAAACTTTTCTTGTCTTTCTTCCTTTTTGCTTCTTTCCTTCCTTCTTTCTTTCCTTTTGTCTTCCTTCCTTCTTGCCTTGTTTTATGTCTTCTTTTTATCTCATTGTCTTATTTGAAATAAAAGCAACATATAAGTCTAAGAAGATAATTTTTATAAAATGAAATTTTATTCAAACAACTATTCTCATCTTTTAAGTGTACAGAAGTAAAACAAGATCTCTGACATCAATAGTAAGGGGTCAAACTTGAGTTAATTGGATTCACACATTTCCACCCATGACCAATGCACTAGTAGAATGGGCTTGCCTGGCCTTTTTATATGTGTCTAAGGAACTTGTTGCAGAAGGTCCAGTGCAGATTCACTGTTGAGATCATAGGTGCTGAACCAGGAATGATAAATTGTAGAGCAAACATGAAGGCAATTTGTTCTGTAAGGCCTGAAGAAATTTCTGAGTAAAAGAAATCTCTGGCAAGAGTCAGGATCCCTAGTCTTAGCTGAATAATAGGACCAGAGTTGTCAACCATGAAAAGCTCTTATCAGTAAAAATGTTCTGTATGCTATTAACATTATACTTTGTGTGTGCCATAGTGCAGATTGGATGTAGAACATTAAAGGTCCCTTAATAAATGAAGAACAAATCAAAAATGCTTCCCCCAACATACACACTTGCTTCCAGAAGTTCTTGGTAGAATGCTCTGTCACTTGTGTTTCTTGTGTCATGGTGGTGGCAAATAGATCTTCTTTATAAGGGGCCATTGAAAGCAGGCTATGTCCAGCTTCCAGTTACTTCATATTCTATAAAATGCTTGCTTCTCAGGTTGTTCCTTGCTAAAAAACTATTTTGATAGCTTCATTTGACTCCATTTAAGAAAGGAGGACAACTGTGCACCTGGGTGGACATTTGAAATACATTTGGAACCACTCATGCAGCACCATTAAATCACTTGCTCCTAGTAGTAGGCAGAATGGCATTCTGATAATTTATTGAAGCAAATTAAGAATATAGGGGCATGTGTGCTTGTTAATATCATATCAAGGAAAAGTAGGCATAATAACTTATTGGACATACAAAACCAAGGAAAAGGTATAATTGCCGTATGTGAATACCATAAAAATGTGTACACCTAGGATCATGATGCTGTTGACTCCAGGTGACTTGTCACCTAACCACAGGGTATGTGCATCAAAGACCAAGGGGCAAAAAACTTATAACTAGCCCTGGGCTTCAATTTGGTTTGGTCTGCTGCTGACTGCCTGCAGTATAGACCTACCATCCGTCCTTTCACAAGGGTATAGACCTGGTTCTGTCCTCTCTCCTCTGCAACTGGCATCAACCCTGCAGTCCATCCCTACACAGCAACATGCATGTCAGCATGCCTGCTGGCTCAGCTCCTACCCTGGAGCTGATTTGGACCTTATCCTATCAATACAATTTTTATTTCCATTTGCATTAACCTACTTCTGAAAATTCTGTCTTTTTACTCTAAATACTCACTTTATAACACACAAATGTGTGTGTGTGTGCATATGTGATCACATGCTCGTGTGCGTGTGTGTGTGTGTGTGTGTGTGTGTGTGTGTGTGTGTGGTGTTTTGTGAGTTAATATTACTCATTACTGTTGGAGTTTAAAAAAAATTGTGTTCATGTGGCTAGAGAGATGGTTCTGTAGGTAAGAGTTCAAACTGGTCTTGCAAAAGACACAAGTTCCATTTCTAGCACCCAGGGTAGGCAGCACACAACCACCTGTGATCCCAGCTCCAGAGGAATCAAAAGCCTCTGGCATCTGTGTGTAAATTTACTCACCTGCAGGTACCCACTGGAAGACACACAAACACACATTCACATATACAAGCAGTCAAAATGATGAGAAATGTTAAAATAGAAAATATGTGTTCCCATCTGCCACAATACCAGCAAAAAGTAAGATGTTCTTTTTTGTTGTTTTTTCCGTTTTTTTCAAGTTTGTGTCACTGACTCTCAAACATCAAGTGTTTTTACTGTGATGTAGGAAGTTCTGGCACCGCATGTGTTTCTGACATAGTTTGTTCACCACAGGCATCAGTAGAAACCAAGGAAAGGAAGTAAGATCCACTTAGGCCTACCATTCCCTGAGATAAAGGATAGGAACAGGCAATGCTGTGATGGTTTGAGCAATCTTACCCTAAAAAGATGCAGCCAATAACAGTACTCCACAGTGAAATGCAAGCAGATGCTCTCTGTAGTGATTGAACCCTCAAGTCAATTGAGAATGTTTATATCTTGAGGGAGCAAATAGAAGCAAGTTATTCTGGTTATACTTAGTAGACATCCTATATGCTTTAAGCTTGTGTAGCAAAACGGCTTAGAATCATTTTCATCAAAACATAGTGTGTGGCAGGATATCAACACTTCCTAATAAAATTCTTTATATTTGTTGCAAAATAAGATGCTAAAGTAATGGCAGATACTTCAAATATTTATTAGAAAACAGCACTGCATAAATTTTCTCTGTGATATTTCTATAAAAGTTATATAGCAATAGTAATTAAAAAACAAACCAAAACAAGAAGAATGACTTGACAGATTTTTGATGATCCCTCATGGAAGGCCTCACCCTGCCTGGGGAGTGGGTGGGGGATGGGAAGCAGGGATTTGTGGGGGGCATGATAGGATGGGAAGGAGAGGGAATTGGAATTGATACATAAAATAAGATTGTTTCTAATTTAAATAAAATTTAAATAATAAAATAAAAGTATTATTCATATTACATACGCATCTTGGTGATGGATACAGAGGTTAAAGCTGCAAAATGGTCATGGAAATTGCTTAAGCATTCCTATTGGTGTCAGAGGAAATGGAATGCATATCTCTGGCATAAGAGCAAATAACATGGACCACATATTCGGAAGTGTCCTGTTTGCTTCTAATTTCAGCAGTTCGCTCAGTAGAAGGTGGAGAACCCATACCCTCCATAGCATGAAGGGCGGCAGCAGCCGTATCTGTAGCCTCCAAAGCCGGAGCCATATCCATAGCCTCCATATCCAGAACCATATCCGTAGCCTCCATAACCACAGCCACAGCCCAGTCTGCGGATGCTGTTACATCCACAGCCATAGCTTCCATAGCCATAGCCCAGGCCCCCGAAGCCTCCATAGCCATAGCCCAGGCCTCCGTAATAGCTGCCGTAGTAGCTCATGGTGTCAGGAGTGGAAGGCTTGTTCTGCTGTTTCAGGAGAGAATGTGAGTGTGAGCATCAGCACCTACAGCAAAGCTTATATACCCTGGGCAGAGTATGTGATGAAGCTTGGGCCTCTCCTTTGTGTCATTCCATAAATTGTAATTACCTGAGACCACACATTCATCCACTGTCATCTGACCAACATCTGTTGAGGATATTTAAGCTTTATTTGGCTACCTCGTGAGTTTGTTTCAGGACTTACTGCTTTAACCTTATTAGACAGAGTATTCATAGACCTTAAGAGAATTTTCTATTATTAGACAATACTGAACATATTTAGTATTCTTGAATGGAAATTAAAATTTTCCTAACACATTTTGTTGGGGGACATTTTTATATTTTGAGTCCACAAAATTTGAAAAATAGCCTAGTTCAAGACTGAAATGTATCAACACTTTCAAAAGAGTCACATATTTTGTGTCACGTGAGGCAAGGACTTGACTCACTGTCAAGAGCCATGAATTATCACCTGATTTCTACAAGGGTAAGACTTTGAATATGCATGATTGTCATATTTATTTGAGGATTTATAGTCAATTATGCAATATTTACTTTTGTTTAACAGCATAGCACAATTGACTTACAAGTGGAGAGAGAGACAATGACAGTGATTAAAAATCCACTTGGCTTCTTGGCAGAACTCTCTCTAGCTCCTTTATCTTGTCTCCACAGGGAATCTAGCTTCAGGTCTCCCACAGATGACATCTGTGCCTGCCCAACTCATCTGTGTCTTTCTTTCTCGAGCTGTTATTGGTGATTTGTGTCTTTAAAGTCTCATTTCAAATATCACCTAACTTGAATTTCCCACTGTTTATCTCTACCCAAGTGAATAGATGAGGCGGTAATAGACAAGGCTATTGCCCACTCACTCAAGTCAATACTACTTAGTTCTCCACACTCAGGATAAGGCATGCACCCTTCACACCACTTTGCCTATTTGTGATCTTCGGTCATTATAGTTGCTTTTAGGTATTATTTTGAGGTAACGTTTCCTACAGTACCAACTGAACCTTTCTAAAATATTAACAATGTTATTTATTACTTAAAACACACTTTAATACATAAAACCCTCTGAAAATTTAATGAGACTTAGAAGTCTCAAAAAGATCTTGAATTTGGTAACTGCAAGGTACAATCAGAAAAGGGGAGTGGAGAAAAAGATTCTCTCTTGGAACGTTGAAGGCTTGGTGTTCAGTCTCCTTTTGGCTCATCCCAGTGAGGTGGCAATGCCCAAGGCTGAGTTTGAAGCTGACCAAACCCCACCAACATGTAGACACATCTTGAAACCTGAATCCCATATAATTTATTTTATGACTATAATTACACTGTTAAATTTTTCTTGATATTTATTATAATTTTTGAATGACATAGTTTTAAGACTGTAATATTCCATTTAGGATTATGAAGGGATACATTCTTTGTTATAATAGGCTTGTTTTTTGACCTTACATAGTGTAAAAGCTTAACAGTCAGTTGGAAGGCAATAAAACTATATGAATGGTGTATACAACCATTAAAGCACAGACCAATATGGATGGCATATATGACTACCCATAACATTAAAACAAGGCCCATTCAGAGAATAACGTGAGCAGCTTACCAGACTGTCTAAGACATGTTTTCAGCCTAACATGAACTCCATCCATGCTTCTGTAGTTGACATAACAATAAACCAACCCTAGCCTTTCTCTGGAGTATCTGTGCTATTCTATGCAAACTTCATTCAAAAGCAGACACAACCTCTTGAAACTGCAGCCAGACAATGACATCTCTCACGTTCATGCTCATGAACCGATACCGGAGTTATAAACTCCACCCCTAACTTTCATAATGTTCTAAGTTTGTGATTTTATGCCAGGCCATCTGGAAGGATGGTTTGGAACTCTAATTAAATCACAGCTAAGAATTTCACACTACTGTTCTGGTACTCTGTCTGTGTGTGTAGCTTGTTAAAGGCATTTTCCCCAATATTTTGAGACATAAGATCATCATATAGCCAGGCAGTGGTGGTCTACACCTTTAATCTCATCACTACAGAGGCAGAGGCAAGCATATCTCTGTGAGTTTGAGGCCAGCCTGGTCTACAAAATACAAAGAGAAACCCTGTCTCAAAAAATTATCATGTTATATGTGGAAATAGTATGGGATACAATGACAAACCCTTAAGTAATTTGGTTAATGCTAAATGCGTCTTTATGAAAGAAGATGTAAAACTGTGTTATGCAAATATTTATTTATTTATTTATTTATTTATTTATTTATTTATTTATTTCTCCATTAAAACAAGAAAAGTACTTTGAAGAAAATATAACAAAACCACCGTTTTCCTATGAGCTCAAGACAAAAAGTATTTTTTACTATATTTATTGAGAATCTCATATTTTTCTATCCATTCATTAGAGCAAAAGAAAAATTATGCTGTTTTAACCTGTTTAGAATTGTCAATTCATGACTTACATAAGTTTTTACTCATTTTTATGAGTAGAAGGGCAAAACATGTTCTTACTATTTATATAAGTGTTAAACTTTTAAAAATGTAAAACATTTATTCTCAACATAAAAATTAATCAATAAATCTTAAAGAAAACAAAATTGTGATAGTATTGAATAAAGTAGGAATGTCAGCATTAGAAATTATTTTTCTCCTTTGTCATCTTGTAGTAACTATTCATGGATGGTATTGTCTTATTCAGAAAGAAAACACCTCCTGGGAAATCCTATGATACTGGGTACTGGGTTGGGCTACCTAACTAAGATTTCAACTGCATTGCTGAGAGCCATTTCACTGGCTCAGCCCACAGTGCTGGTCCATCCCAACTTACAGCAGAATAAACTGAAAGTGCAAGACACAGTAAACTTTCACTGGGAGATGGATTTTAGCATTGCTGATTGGTTAGTTACATGGCCAATTAGATAACTTGTCGATTGATTGACTCATTTCTCCATTGCAACAGAAATAAGCTTTTTAAAGAGGTAGTGTTAACACAGGCCTTGATCTAACGAAAGTTACAGATCTATGAGGTAAGGTGTAATATATTAATTCTTGTATTCAACATGTGATGGTCAAATCAGGGTGATTGTATTTCTGTCTCCTTACTGTTTCATTACTATTAAAGTATTCCTCCCCTTCTGTCTCTCTCTTGTTCTATCTATATCTATATCTATATCTTTATTCATCTGTATATATGTGTGTGTTTGCATATTCTTGTATTCAATTTGTTGTACTTAACAGATATCAACAATTTTTACATATAAATGAAATAAACCAAACAAAAATATATTTCAGCTTCTCATTGAATCATTTATTGGCAATTGAACAAGAACTCACTCTTAGTCTTCAAGCTTAAAATGCAGACACATTTTATAAATGTCGTCTTCAACACTCAAGAATTTCACCTGCCCAGTAGTCTTAGGATCATCACAGCCACTTGACTAGGATTTCTCAGAACATTTAGTCAAGGTTTCAAATTCTGAGTTACTAGAGCAGGATTTCAGTAGAAGCTGGAGAACCCGTATCTTCCACAGCATGAAGGGCGGCAGCAGCCGTATCCGTAGCCTCCATAGCCAGAGCCAAATCCATAGCCACCAAAGCCAGAGCCATATCCATAGCCTCCATAGCCACAGCCACAGCCCAGTCTGCGGATGCTGTTACATCCACAGCCATAGCTTCCATAGCCATAGCCCAGGCCCCCAAAGCCTCCATAGCCATAGCCCAGGCCTCCGTAATAGTTGCTGTAGTAGCTCATGGTGTTGGGAGAAGTAGCTTTGATCTGTTGTTCAAGGTAAGATCCTGAGTGTGAATGTCAACGGGTGTAGGAGGAAGCTTATATACTCTGTGCCGAACATGTGACAAAGCCTGTGGGCACTATTTTCTTTCATTCCAAGTTATTAATGTGCTAGAGATACCTCATTAATCTGTTTGCTAACACAAAGGGAGGCATACAACTCATTAAAATATTTTAGCTTGCTTCTCTGCCTAGTTAGAATGCCCTTGAACTCATTGTGTCTCATTTTTATGAGGAAATGTCAATGCCTTCAAGGTTAGAGAATTTAAGTTCCTGTAGTAGAATTCATTGTTATGATTTTTACATCAATCATATTGTCAGCCTTTTTTTCTAAATATTTTCTCACTTCTAACTTTCATTCATTTAATGCAATATCTAATATCATATCTAGATTATAGTAAGTGATTTCAAAAAAGAACATTTAAATGTTCCATAATCTTCCAATGTGTTTTTCAGATTGACGAAAGAAGCATCTGAACTCTTTCAAAAGAAGAAGATATGGTTTAGTTGAATGAACCTAACCATGATAGATATATAAAAGGAAACAGAAAATTACAGGTAGAATAAAACTATTTTTACTTTTTCCATCATCATAAAAAATTCTTAGCTTATCAGAATACTAAAATTTAACCCAGAAACCAAAGGATTGTCAAGACATTAAACTCACTCTGTAACCAGCCTAAATAAAATTTTCAAATATATTCTTCTTTGTATCACTATCCATTTCATCACTACCTACAGTATTGTCTGAACTTCTGAGGATTCTTTGGGGTTTTTTGTTTTGTTTTGTTTTGTTTTGTTTTGTTTTGTTTTGTTTTTTTGAGATGGTGTTTCTCTGTGTAGCTTTGGAGCTATGATGGGATTAAAGGCATGAGCCACCAATGCCCAGCACTTCTCAAGATTCTGGTTTCATGACTTTTCCTCGTCTCTCTCCTCTGCCTTTTCTTCATCATATCCTTGCAGCCCTCCTCTGTATCAAACCACTCTTTACCTCATGATTTGCATTTATTCTCTATTAATTCTAGTACCAACTTGGTTATTTAGTTATTACTCATTTAATTTTAAAACAGACTTTCATGTTTTTATCCACATACCTAAAGTTATCACAACACCTCTTCCCTTACATTATATTTTCTACAGTATATGCCAGGTCTTCATTATTTTGTCTCAGAAAATGAGCTCACAACAGTTCGAGACATTACTTCCTTGTAAATGTTTGAGTATTTTAGGAAGTATTTCTGTACTATTGGGGTTGAACACTATTTTAGCAACATTCTACAAAATTCTCACAACTTGTAACTCTCCAGATTCTGAATGATAATGTTTAACATGCTGGGCTGTAATAAGAATGTGAGGGGAGCCTGTCACTTTTCTCAGATTTCCTAATCTTAACCTTAAAAACAGGAATCAATCCAAACTTAATTATCATTGGAATATAACCATATTCTAAGCTTTGGACTTTGATTAGTATTTTATTTTATATGACATTAAATATATACCAGAGAAAATATTGTTTTTATCTTTTGTTTTAATGTTTGGAAATAGGATTCTTGATAACATCTTTTCCCAACTGGATTAATCAAATCTTTTTCCAAAGAAAACAGTCATCCTGTTAAGGTAAAGAAAATGATGAATTCTGTCTGGTACAGCTTGTCATGAATAAGCTGTGAGTAAGTTTTCTCCCAAGTACAGTGTGATTCTAAAGGGCTCACAGCTCTCAAGGGAATATTTAAATGAATGTTTTCCCTTCAGGTAAATTCTTTTGCTGCTTTATCCAAGTTTATTCTACTGTTTGTTGTGAAAAAATGGGAGGAGAAAAATATTCCCTTCTCAATGAGTCATTTTTGATTTATTTTTATTTTATATGCACTGGTGTTTTGCCTGCACATATGTCTGTGTGAGGGTGTCAGATTTTGGAGGTACACACAGTTGTGAACTCTATGGGGGTGCTGAGAATTGAACCCAGGTCCTCTTGGAAGAGCGGCCAGTGCTCTTAACTGCTCAACCATCTCTCCAGATCTTTCAAGGAGTTATTTTTTAACTCCAAGGGCAGTAAGAACATTGAAAACTTTGAAGAATCTTATCAATGCCAGGCAAATGTGACAGGTATGTATGTGCACATGACTGAAGGCTCAGTCATGCTCTTGTTGTTATGTGCATAATGACGTGTGCTCACAGCAAACAGATATTGCTAACGAAAATGAGCTCAACTGTGGCACAGCTCTGGATTTACCTTTACAATTTCAAAGAAGCAAGTAAAATATACACGTGTCTTGCTCTTTGTGTGCACACCCATGTAAGTACAAACATACATGCTTATAGATAAAGAGCAAAAGAAAGTCAAGAAATATATGCATCAAAACATCAAAGGTGGACATAGTGATGAATCAATACACACCTGCACTCAGGAGACACAGGCAGTGTCTTGAAAAGTGAGGACCTCATGGTGAATTAATGTACCTTTTTAGTTTAATCCAGGGAGATTTCACAGAATGAGGAATTTGGGTTAAACTATGCACAATAGCAAATGAAAAACAGGATGCGTCATTTTAATGATGTGATGAGGAAACGTCAGTGTGCTATGTATAATGAAATTGTGTAGATCAGTTTTATTCTCATATAACTCATAAACATACGGGCAAGTAATAGATAGCTCCAAAAATTAGTTCAGGGGTGAACTAAAGATAGATGTTTGGATTGCAACTGCTTTACTAATGATGTGGATTGAAAAGAAGAATGTCCTATCATGGAGCTGAAGTGAAAAAGATAAGCAGTCAACTGAAAAATTATGGCTAAAAGATTCTGAATTAAGTATAAACTAGCTTCATCTCAAAAATTACCCTGCTTAACTAATAACAAAGATCAATGGCACATTTAACTAGCAAATAAGTATGAAAGTTTGGTGTGAGATTGCAGAATACTTTTTTTTTTTTTAGCAAACGTGGTTTACTTTCAAAGTATGCTTAATGAAATGGTTTAATATAAAATGTTCTATTGATATATAATTAAAATAAGGGCCAAGCTTGCTGAATGGATAAAATGAGAAATGCTTTTAAATGTAATAAAACATTCGTAACATATGAAGGTGTAGTTATGTTGACAACTTCTTGTTGTTGACTTGAATATGTGTATTACCTAGTGAAAGAAACAGCAAAGTATCACTTATTGATCTTACGGAAGCTGCCTTTTTGTTCACTCCCAAACTATTATTTGTATGTTTAGGGGCTCTCTCTTTCACAATGGAATTGTCAAGATTCATTAGCATGCATACCTAATTAAATTTATGAACAGAATCATACTTTGTTCCCAAATTAGAATGATTTATTAGGAGATGAAGAGATAATCAAGTCAGTTACAAACGAAATTAAAGAATTCTGGTACTATGATGCCATTGGTGTTATAAACTGAAAATTGTATGACATACTCAAGTTTTGTACACAAGTAACACCACCATGAACTCTGTTGTAGAATGAGGGTAGCTGCCTTTGGAGAGTTCTCTTATTGTTTAAATGTTGAATATGAAAATTATTTAACCTAGTCCAGAGATTCCAGATCTTATGCATAATTAGTGATGACATGTACCCACAGCCTCCATAGCCAGACTCACAACCATAGTTTTCACAAACATAGCCCTGCCCCAGACTGCAAGTGTCTCCATATCCATTACCACAGCCACAGCTCTAGACCCTACATAGCTGCAACCTAGGCTGGCTAGCAGTTACCACGCTTGTTCATGGTGTCCAGAGTGGCAATTGATCTGCTCAAGGAAAGACACTTAGTGTGACAATTGAAATACAATCACATATGTTTTTATACCCTACCAAGCAATGAGATCAAATATTTATTTGCTGTTAAATTTTCATGTATTTCTATGCACCACACTTGACAGAGTCCTGACATAGAAGGGGCTGTCCACCTCACCAATATGTGTGAGCTTGTGCTGCTTGCTGTTCACAGTGATCGTGAAATCCACTGTATCACTTTTATGGAAACATATTTCTGTCTTCAAAATCTGGACCCACTGAGCCAAAACAGAGCTGTTCATAGACAAACTCAACAACAGTTTTCGTGCAATGTTGAAATTAAATATCCCTTGATATCTAGGTTTCTTTTACTGATTTGCTTTGCTTATTATTAAGTGAAATAACATAATTGTATTTATTATACCCCTTCAAAGCTATCTCATACCTCACATTGGGTTTCTTGTCAAACTGTAGGAAACAGTTAAAAGCTCTGGAGGTATCAGCCTACCTGCTGTGTGCAGCAATAGTTAACTTCAAGGGGAAAAGCTGAAATGTATTCATTAGTTTCTCATCTTCTTTTATTATTACTTTAGAGCATCAGTCCTCAAAACCAGTAAGCTTTATTTTTAATACTTGTTGAAAAATAAATTTTTTATCTGCAAACATGGCATAATCTTTTAAACATAAAACACAGTTCATAATAATTAGAGACCTGTTTTTAAGCACTTACAAACTATCAAAAATGTAACTTTTTAATAATGACATATTTTCCTGTGTATTAGGTATCCAAAGTATCATCATAAAGTACCGAATACAGTCCCCTCGCCCACAGCTGTGGTCACTGCTACCTCATGTCCTCTGTTCTGTTCGTGCTCTTTTTATCAGTTGTTCTGAGTGCCTACCAATTTTCACTCAAAAGATTTTATTTTCACATAAAATGATATCACAGAGCAATACATAAGTACTTTAACCATAATCACTTTATTTTCCTTCTGTTTGTCTATTATGTGTTTATTTTTGTGTTATTAGCTAACAGGTGCCTCAAAAGATAATAAGTATTTATCAGGATCTCAGATGTTGAGAATTTTCTGTTACAAATGATTATAAAATTCAGCAACCCATTACACCAAAGATATCTTGAAAATCTCCAAAAAATCATGTTTTAAACAAGGTAGAATTGAAAAGATATTAGAGATGAAAATAATTTTCAGCCATCCTTAAGATACCACTCATCTGCATAGATACTGGAGGTTGCTGTAAAGTTTGCCTAAACATGACTCACAGATGGCCTCAAGGTCAAGTTTAAATATAAATGACCTCTGTTCTATGTCTTTACTCATAGAGGTAATTTTCATAATCTTTAATTTTACCCCTGTTATCTGTGAAGGTACTTGTTACCTGTGAAATGCCAGACTAGTTTTGAAATTTGAGTTAGAGGATATGTGATGATTTTGATCATTGTTATCTGTTGCTGTTAAGTTACATATTTGTGATCTCTGGCTTCTATATGGCCTCTTACCTGCACATACATGCATCAAACCACACACAGGAGTTTTTGATAATATTGCACATTGGTATTTTTATATTCTTTTTAATTGCTTATTCTAAATGAAAAACAACACAATAATTTGAATATTATATCCTCCTTAGTTGAAGCTGAAACCACAAACTTACAAATAAGTCAAGTAGGTTTTAGAAAGTTGTGTTTTACTTTCTTGGATTGGACAATTATTTACCTGTTTGAAGTCCAATAGCCTGTTGTGATGTGTTATCCATAAGATAAGCATATCCGTTCCCAATAAAAGAAGATATTCAGAATCCTTCCTGTTATTCCTGTATGGATCTACAGAAGCAATAAATAAAGACCTAATAGTATAATAATTCTACATTGTTCTGAGTGTCTAATACATTCACTGAGATGTTATACAGATCACTATTGTTTATCATTATAGTTAGTCCCTATTAATATTATGGGTAAATGATATTAATAATAAGAAAAAGCAATATTTGCTATAATTATAATTATCTATAAAACAGTGTAATCCTACAATAGAGTCACTGGAATATCATTACTTTGATCAAGTCCAGAAAAAATAATACACTATGAAAACATGGATTCAAAGCAGTTCATCCTAGTTGGGCGGAGAAATTTCTTGGGCTAAGAATTCTATTCCCATGATTAATAAGCAAGACTGACATTACTTACTACTTATTTGAATTCATAACAAATTAAACTTTATATATATTATATATGAATCATATATGAGAATATATAATATATTAGAATAATATATATTAGAAAGAGGCTTAGAAAAGGCAGATAATTCTTGTGAATTCAAATGTCTTGATAGGTAGTATTGGTGACTGGATATATTTCGAAATGAAATAACTTATTTGAAAACACTCAGTAAACAAAACATAAAACAAGAGCCAGAGACAGCATTTCCATGGACAAATGATTAAATAAATACCACAAGTGCTGATTTCCAGGAGAATACTTTATTGCAAACTAAACCAGAAATTCAATACAAATTAAAGTAGGGAATATCTATAAGCATGGTCAGATGATCAGTCCTTTTAAAACTTGGACTCTTCAGATTTTCTTGATTAGGTCCAACCTGATACTGATTCAGTATTTGATAGTTTTGGTAAATCTTGTGATGATCCTAGGTGTTGGTTTCCCAAGCCAGTCTTTCAATAGAAGGTGGAGAACCCACATCCTCCATTGGAAAGTGGACAACTGTAGCCATACCCATAGCCTCCAGAGCCAGAGCCGTTTCCATAGCCACCCAAACCACAGCCACAGCCCAGTCTGTGGAAACTGCCACGTCCACAGCCATAACCATAGCCCAGGCCCCTAAAGCCTCCATAGCCATAGCCAAGGCCTCCATAGTAGCCATTGTAGTAACTCATGGTGTAAGAGATGGAGAGTTTGGTATCCTGTTCAAGGTATCCTGTTCAAGATCTTCAAATGTCCTTGTATGTGGGACAAACTTATCTACCCTGAGAAGATCATGTGCTCTGTAATATGGATTCCCTCCTTTTGCATCATTTTTCTATAATTATAACTACTTAAAACCTTAAAAACTTGTTATTACACTGTCCACTGGCAAGGAGAGTCTCTTTTACATTCGTTAAACTATTGAATATGCTTAGCTGCCAAATTAGTATGGCTCTTAAAATTCCTCTCATCACATAATGAGATGGAGTTGCTGCATCTTCAAAGTCTGGATACACCAACCCACTAATAGAACTCCTCATAGCTAAGAGTGATCACATCTAACAATGTCTTGTTCTCAATTAAATCTGTTTATATCCAGTTTTTCTTAGATGCTCATCTTACAAATTTAATCAAAGGACTGTGGTCAATTTGATTCTATCTTACCATTTAAAAGTATTTTATGGGAATCAGCCTACAACAAGATCCAGCAATTCCACTCTTAGGCACATACCCAAAAGATGCACATTCATTCAACAAGGACATCTGTCCAATGATGTTCATAGCAGCATTATTTGTAATAGCCAGAACCTGGAAGCAACCTAGATGCCCCTCAACTGAAGAATAGATAGAGAAAATGTGGTACATTTACACAATGGAGTACTACTCAGTGAAGAAAAACAATGGGATCTTGAAATTCTCAAGCAAATGGATGGAAGTAGAAGAAACCACTCTGAGTGAGGTAACCCAGACACAAAAAGACAAACATGTTATCTACTCACTTATATATGATTTTAGACATAGAGCAAAGGATTACCAGCCTACAATTTACACCATCAGTGAAGCTAGGAAACAAGGAAGACTCTAGGAGAGACATACATGGTCCCCTGGAGAAGCAGAAAGGGACAAGATCTCCTGAGAAAATTGGGAGCATAAAGGAAAGGAGATGGAGCTAGGAGAATGAGAAGGGAGAAGAGGAAGGGTGAGGAGGATATGATGGAGCAGGAAGTTTGAGTTGGGGTAAGAATAGAGGAGAGCAAGGTAACAGATACCATAATAGGTTTAAAGAGAAATAAGGCACTAGGTAAATGTCTGGAGATCTAGAAGGATAACACCAACTAATAATCTAAGCAACAGAGGAGAGGCTACCTTAAATGCTCTTCCCTGAAAATGAGATTGAAGGCTAACTTATATGCCATCCTATAGCCTTCATCCAGCAGCTGGTGGAAGTAGAAGCAGATACCCACAGCTAAACACTGAACTGAACTGGAATCCAGTTGCAGAGAAGGAAGCGTTATAAAGATGTCCAGACCAGGCTGGTGAAACCTACAGAAAGAGCTGACCTGAACAATGGGGAGCTCTTGGTCCCCAGACTGACAGCTGGGAAACCAGCATGGGACTGATCCAGACCCCATGAAGATGGGTGTCAGTGAGGAGGCCCCAGAAATCTATGGGGGCTCCTGTAGTGGATCAGTACTTATCCCTAGCATAGGAATGGACTTTGGGAGCCCATTCCACATAAAGGGATACTCCCTGAGCCTACACATGGGGGAGGGCCTAACCAAAGGATATGACAGACTCTGAAAACCCCCTATGGAAGGCTTCACCCTCCCTGGGGAACAGAAAGGGTATGGGATAGGTAGGGTGTTAGTTGGGGGGAGGGGCAGGGGAGGAGGGAAAGAGGAGGGAACTAGGATTGACATGTAAAACTATCTTGTTTCTAATTTAAATTAAAAAATGGAGGGAAAAAGTATTTTATTTCTCAGACACTAAAGTAAATTAACAATCTGTTTTGGAGAACACTGAAAGTCAGAAGGAATAAATTCTCCTGTACTGGAACAGTAATGAACTCTGGATGCTAAAGGAAGGTCTGCTTGGCTTTTGCCAGTGTTAGAATATTGATCACCATAATTACTATTTGTTTCACACACTCTTCCATTTGGATTTTACAATTGGTGAACCAATGTTGATATTCTCTTTAAAGCCTGCACTTGGTCTATTAGGGTTCACTCTTATTTATGGTATAGCTCTATAAGCTTTGACAACAGTGTGGGGGACAAAAACAGGTCCAAAATGGAAGACAAATGTCAGTGATAAAAAATTTATTTCAAAAGTGGCTTTAAAACTCATGTGACATCATCTTCAAAGCTGCCACACTTTGCACATCTGTGTGATGTGTCACCAAAAGGCCCAGCATGCTATGGTGTAGCTTTGACCTTACTTCAAGTACCAGTTCATAGGACATGTTATCTAATTATTCCATGTGACTCTTTTCCTTCTTAAGTAACTTTATATTTGTGACAGTTTCACCTTTCAGAAAAAAATAAGCATAAACATTATGTCCTCAGTACTTCCCCGCAAAACAACAGTGCCCCTCTATAAACAGATTCCAATAATAATGCACAGTTGTCACAGAGGGTGGAACAATTGTGACAGACTGCCATTATCCAAATCTCACATTTCAGGGTTCCTGTTTATGTTTTGCATTTCTATGGGCTTTGACAACTTTATGGAGTCATGCAAACATGAACCCACTATCATATAAATAGTTTTTCTGAGCCAAAGACAATCTATTTTTTCCTACAATCTTTCCTCAGTACACCTCCCAATCTCATGGAAAATACTGAGTTTTTATTGCTTATATTTGTTTATGGGTCTTTATTTTGCCAGAATATCATGTAGTCAGAGTCACATAGTAGCATACCTTTTCACCATGACTTCTTCTTCTAACCAAATACTTTTTAGTGGTCTTCCCTTCTCTCCTTATAACTCATTTCTGTTTAAATATATATTCCCCTCTCATGAATATGACAGTTTGTCTACATACTTATTCTTCAAAAGGCATGTTTATTGTTGTACAGTTTTGTTAACTATAAAAACAACTTCAATAAACCTTTTGTTCAGATTTTCATGTGCACATAAAGTTTGAGTTCATCTCAGTAAACATCAAGAAGGAAAATTGCTGCATTGTCTTGGGAGAATAGGTTTATTTTGTGTGGTACTTTTTGTCCAAATATATAAACTTTTGGGTCTCATGTGCTATTTCATTTCTTTGTTGTCTTCAAAACTTGTTTCATTTTACAGTACGTTTTAAGATTAAAATATAGTTATTAATTTGATTCTCAAATTATTTAATTCTCATCAAGTTGGTTAGAAGTCATAGATATCACAAATCAATCAAAAAGTATTATTGATGTTACCCTGCCAGGTCTTTCCTCCTTTGTGGGCTAATGGTCCCATGATACGTCGTATCTAAGACAGGTGAAATCTTTTCTCAGAGAAGAAATGTGTCCTACAGCTGAATTCAATCTTAAATCAATGCAATCTGACAACTGGTAGAATAACCATGGTAAGATGCAATTATCCTAGGAGTGGCAAATGCTGTCTACCAATAATGATATTGATTCTGTTTAGATATGAAAAATACTTCTTCAGACTGCAATGCCAAGAACCACTAAAGAATCACATCGTCTCATGTGAAATTCTGACTTCCTCAAACTTTCTAGTGTGGTTTTTTTCCCCTTACTGACCTGAAATGGGGAGGTCCTCCTTTATTGGAGGAAACATGTTGTTCAGAAAGTGATTCTGAGTCTTTCAAATTTATTTTTATTTTATTATTTATTCATTCATAATACTTTATTTTATTACAAATTTATTTTTAAAAGTAAACTTTGGAGTTGGTCATCATTACAGCTAGTTTTCTCAAGTAAAGAAGCCCATGATTTTGACAGAATATTGTAATAAGTAAATTTGTCCAGTTAGCTACAAGTAAACCCTATAAAGAAACGCACAGTCATAAATATCTCATACTTCATTTGACTGCACAATAGGAGTGCACCATACTCTGATCAGAATAATGAGCTAGAGGAATCAGAGTGGTTGGTCTTCACTGAAATGGGGGCTCTGATCTGTATTTAACAGCCATGCCCTGTTTATCTTCACCAGTGTTTGCCCTTCTGAAGAGCCTTTCCTACCTAGACCAGTAGGAGCAAACATGAGAGATCAGCTGCACAGGAGAACTCATGTTCCTTGCTATTATTGAATATCAACTAAAAGAAATAAAACTTTATCTTTGTAACAAAATGCATACATTTTCTCTGGGAAAGGGTGATATTTTATTCCATATTTATATTAGCAAATGCGTTACTGAAAGTGAAAGAAATCCCAGAAATACCCATTTTTGCTGGCTGTTGGGTAACTAAAGTTCCTCATTACAGGAAGTTTGGCCAAATTTCTCAAGTCTACAGGCCAACTGCAACAACTATTTGGACTACTTGATAACTACCGACACTAACTTAATTCTCCATGATGACATGCACAGTATTTCTTCATGCTGACAATTTGTAGGACGACCAATTTGCATATCTTCAGATTAGGAAGAAAATTTGAGATAGATTTGCCAAATATTGTATATTTTGAATAGATATTCAAAGACGTTTTGTTTTTGACATGACTTTTCTTATCATTGAAGTAATCAAAAAGACATATTTTTAGCTACACAAAAGGTATTTTACTACTCCTGTATGTCTCGAGTTGTATATGCACTTAGATAGAATTTTAATGTGTTGAATTTATTTTAAAAATTAATGGTTTTATCTATTCTTTGATAATTTCATACACTATATTTTTTCTTATTTTTTATTAGTTCAAATTAGGAACAAGCTTGCTTCACATGTCAATCTCTTCTCCTTCTCCCTCTCTCTCCTCTCCCCACAACCCTCCCTCCCAGCCCCCCTCACCTGTCCCCCACTCCATCCACCCTCCACTCCCCAGGCAGGGTAGGGCCCTTGATGGTGGCTCCGCAAAGTCCACCACATGACCCTGGGCTGGGCCTAGGCCCTCCCCCATGTTCATACACTGTATTTTATTCATATTTATATACCCTCCCCCTACTTTTCCCATATCCCCTCTCCCTAAACATCCAACTTTATACTCTCCTTCTCTTCAAAAAAAAATTTGCCAGGAGTTGGTGGTG